ACTTCCACACACTCAATACTGAGGAAGCTCCTCCCATAAGTCCTTTCTATTTGTCTGCTTCCTTTCATAAACTCATGGGAGCTTCATTTATTTGATCTTCAAGTTTATTTAACCACCAGGGAAGAAATAAGTTGAAAGACTAACATTTGCACCATGTGTAGAGACAAAATGAACACGCAGCTTTATCAAACACCATACATGTGATTTTAAAAACGACAACACTGATAACATTATCTCATCACAATGATTCAAGACTTCTGCCAGATTTGATGTAACACTGCTTGGCATGGGGTAAGAAATACATAAGCTTCTGAGAAGTAGTGTATACATATTATTCAGAGTTATCTGCTACTGATTCCCAGTGAGGTGGGTAACACTAAATTAACTGAAATGCAATTGTAAGATGTATTGCAAATTCAGAAAAATTAAATGTATGTGTCCAGATGGATGGAGGTGCAGGATGTCTTCTATAGTGAGGAAATTGGCTATGACCTCACTGGCTATAAATGGAATGAATTAAACTAATATATGCAGAGGGTCTAGCAAGTGTCTGGTGTGGGGAGAGCCACAAAAATGAGAACTATTATTGTGCCTTGGCAATTACTTGGTTTCAGAAATCTGACACATGGAGGTGATAAAGGGACTGAGATAAAAGGGCTACTGTACCTTAATCAGAACCTCTGTAATCCAATCCCAGTTTATACTTTATTGATTTATGACTTATGACTCAATTTAAATCCTCCAAAATTAAATTGTCTCATCTTTAAAATGAAATTAATACAGATTTCCTATCTAATAAGTTTATAATTATTATACGGATATATGAATATTCTTTGCAGTTATTTTCTACTTATCATCATCAAGAAAATCACAAATCTGATTCTAATATCAGACCTTAGTTCTACCTGTTCTAGAACTTCCTATAATAGAATAATTCAGTATGTACTCTTTCTGGCGGACTTCATTTGCTTAACCTAATGTTTTAGAGTGGGCATCATTAGTGTTTTTTTTTTAATAGCTGAATAGTATTCCAATTTACTAATGTTTTCAGATGAATTTATAATTCTATCTTCTTGGAATAGAAGATTAGATTGTTAATTTTAAATCATTCTGATTATAAAACCATTTAAAGGCATTACTCTTTTGTATGGCAGCTTTGCCTATGTTCCACAAATTTTGTTATTGAGTTTCTATTACCATTCAATTCAAATTACTTAATAATGTCTTCTTTGATTTAGAAATGTGTTATTAACTTCCAAGTATTTGAGTGTTGTTTAGTTTATTATTGTTAATTCCTAATTTGATTTCATTATGTTCAGAAGACAAATTTGGTTTTATTGAGGCTTTCTTTATTGGGTTGACTATATTCCCTTAATGAATGTTTCATGTGCACTTGACGATATACACTTGTAACTGTTTCACCTTCTTGTTTCTGTCAGATTTAATTTCTTGTAGCTTAAAACTCTGTTGTAGGTGCACACACATTTAGTTTTTTTATGTATTCATGAATAACTGATATTTTGTAATTTTGAAATGTCCCTAGTATCATATTGCGCAACCTGCTTTTCCTGATATTAATAAAGGAACCAAAGGTTCATTATGCCTACTATTTGCATGTAGTATCTATTACTTTCAAACTAACATTGTCTTTATTATTAAAAAAAAGAGTATCAAATAAAAAAAATAGTTAGGCCTTGCTTTTTTACTTAGCCTGATACTTTCCACCTTTTAATTAGAGTTTTTTTTTCTCAATTTTCTTTTAATATAATCTTTAGTTGGGTATGATTCTGTCTACTTTCTTGAATTTTTATGTCTCTGTTATTTATTCCTTTGTTTCTAATTCCTTGTTTCATTTTGTGTTAGATTGTTCTTGCTTTTTTGTTATTGTTGCTACTGTTTTTTTAATATTCCATCCTTTCTTTTTATTGGCTTTGTGGCTATAACTCTGGTTTAATTTCATGCATCTATGACATATTGCAGTTTACCTCAAACTGACATTATATAATTTTATATGTAATATTAAGTCCCTATTATCATATAGTTGTACTTACACTTTCTTCCATTTTGATAGTATTATTGACATATTTATTTCTTCATATGTTGTAAACATACTAGTTTCCTTTAAATTTGGTATTAACTTTTAAATGTTTAAAAAAATAAAGAAAAATAATCTTATATTTACCCATGTATTTCTACTTGGAGTACTCTTCATTCCATCCTATACACTGAAAATTCCATCTAGAATCAATTTCTTCATACCCCATAGAACTTTTTAAAAATTCTTAGAAGTCAGGCAATAGTGGGCAGTTGTAGGTAATAAATTATTTCAGTTTTTGTTCAAGTAAAATGTGTTTATTGTTCTCTCAGATGTTAAAGTTTTTATTGCTGGATGTGATAGGTTAGGCTGGCAGTTTCTACATTCAGCAGTTGCTGAACTTCCTTGTTTTTCCTGAGAATCAGCTGTCATTCATAATGTAGTTCAATTATTATCTTCAGCAACTGAGCAGGTTATGAGTGAATGAGAGCCTTGATTCATCTAATGGGCCTTGGTATTCAAGCACCTGTGGTATGAAATCTGTCCTTGCTTTTCATGCCAACCTCAAATGTCTTATATTACTAAGTAATGTTGTCTATGATCTTGTTTGAAGATGGCTGGTGAATTTAGTAAGAGTTTGGTGGTAGCTTCCTGTAGCTTTAAGTGTTTCCAATGTGATTTTATGCTGTTAACTCTAGAGAGAACCTGGGACCATGCCTTGCACACTCTGAGTTCTCAAATCTTTGAGTCAGTAGATCCTTTTGTATATGAGCCTGTGAAACAATGAAGCTGGAAATGAGATGACTCTGAATTGATAGGATTTAGAGACTGTGAAGCTTTGAGGTTACAAGAGTATATGATAGTCAGACTCAGAAAGATTAAGTTGCTTGCCCAATGTTACATAATCACACCAGGATGCTATGTCCATTTACGAGAATCACCGCCAGAGTCACAATGCACAAGTTGGGATTAAATAAAGGATTTCAAGTTCATAAAATAAATATTTTATTTGGAATTATAAAACGAGGATTCCACTATCAGTATAATATCTATTGAGTCTACAAATTACATAATACTTAGATGTGGGTTATATCCTGTGGAAACTTCAGCTAGAATATGATTTTAAATATGATTTTAAATATGATTTTAAATATGATTCCAGGGTATTTATGTGCCTGGGGAGGTGGATTGTAGCACACTTTCCAACAAGAGTATTTGATGGAAGATTCCCTAGTTATGTCATAGAAAAACATGAAATGCCTTCACTCCAGCCATAGCAATGAGAATGCACAAGAACTGACCATCCCCAGTGTAGGCACACATGTATCAAAGAAGTGTGGATACAAATACATTTTTAAAAGAACTAAATTTCACCAAAAAAGAGTCCTCCCAGATGAATAAGTAATTGAAGAAGCTTTATACCTGTGTCTGTTGCTAAAATTGAGAGCATGGACTGTGGGAAGAGAAATCTGCCAAATGAATTTATTCACTTGGGAATGAAGATATAATGCCCAAGCCTTTGACTTACCTGTAGACTCATATGTTGAATTTGAATCTTGAGGCATTGCTCTCCACCAAGTCATTTTCTTACATGAGGGTTTTTACTGCAGGTATAGTGGCAAAGTAGGACTTGACCTCTTCATAAACCGCTTTGTGTCACATGATAGCAATTGTATTGGTTGTCTAAGGTCAAAATTATTAGGCAGGAGAAATTTAGTGTGCAACAAAACATCAGATTATCAAGGCAATGTAGATTCACAGGTGCTGTGAGCACACAATCGAGGTTGACATATGTATCTTTGAAAATATATACTCTATCAAATTTAATCTTTTATTTGATGCATAGTTTGGTCAGTTGAGAAACCAGTGGATTTTTATTTTATTTGATGATATTGATAGGACATTAGCACTCAGGATTTAACTAGGAATACTTAAGTCAGAAAAACAGCAGATGATAGCTCATATGAGCTATGTAAATAAATGTGCTAGTTGATGTCCTTCCTTAAAGATTAGGTACAACTAGGATGATAAGATTCTGGGGAAATTTATGATAATGTGACTGTACTTACTGCCATTGAACTATTTGATTTAAAATGGTGGAAATTGTAAATTTTACATTATGTATATATTACCGCAAGAGGTATGAGACTCTGGAGTCCATCTGCAAAACAATTTCTACTCCAGAAATCATTCGTCCAAATGAAGACTATCAGGCATAATTTAAGTGTGCCAAATAGCTCCCGTATTGCCAGTTCCTTTGTTTAAACTTCACAAGGAAATGTGAAATCGAATTACATAAAAATTTAACCTCCTGCTAGTCCTCTTCTAACAATTAACAATAGAACAGTGAAGAGTGAGGGACTGCAGAAAAACCATAGGCTTTGGAATAAGGTAACTTTGGAACGAATCTCAGGTAAGTTACTAACCAATTGGATGATTTAAAAGATTTTTTTAACTCTCCTTTTTATCTCTACACTTCAGCTTTTTATCTATAAATTGGTAATAATGATAATGAAAAGTGCTTAGCATAGTGAGTGGCCTCAATTAATGGTAACAATTGCTCCAGTAAAGGCCTTTCCTTTCTAAAGGAAATTGTTAGTTATCTCCCTTACCACAACAATTATGAATATTGGTATTGGAGCTTAGTTGTATTATTTATTTTGGGAAGCTTTTAGGTGCCATGTCTTAGGACTTGTGGGGATTGACTTATTCATAGAATGTGTGTGGGGAATTCTTACCGAATAGTGAACAGTATTTCTGGAGGAAAAAATACAATACATAATGCAGAATTTTCAACCACATCAGATTTCATTTGAAATACCCAAGGACTTGAGAATTTTTTTCTCAAAGTCTTCATGAAACAACATATGTGAATTTCCATTCATACCCTTGAGCTCTAGTATGTGAAGGAGCTGATACTTTCCAACTAGGCATCACAAACCTCACTGGCCTCTTCTCTTTGCAGACCTTTGTGGGAAACGTGAATGCTGACAGCGTGATGCACCACAAATTACCACACTCAGTGAGAGCCCGGTTCATCCGCTTTGTGCCCCTGGAATGGAATCCAAATGGAAAGATTGGCATGAGGGTTGAAGTCTACGGATGTTCCTACAGTAAGTACCCACAAGTGATAATAATGGGCTGATAATAATGGGCTGTGTTTGTGAGTGATGCTATGTGCACAGCATTAGCTACATTGAGCATGACAAATCAACTGTTTTAAAGTTATTATATTTATATATGCATTTTTGAAATGTGACACACAACCCACAGCTAGAAAAACTCTTTCCCTTTAAGGATGAAAAAATTTGGAAGTGTAAGACGATGAGGGCTTAACAAAAGAAGTTCAGTATTAAGAGCTCTTGATGTTTGAGCTGCCATTAGTCACTGCAAGTAAAAGATGAATTTAAGCAGAGTTCCTTCCCTGAAGTGGGATGAGGTACTATGTTCTCTACTCCCTCAGAGCCATCAGGGATGTGAAGGGGAATTTTTGCTTTATTTGTTCTATAAGCAGAGGAGAAGGAACATTTCAACCCAGTGTAACTCATGGACTGTTTCTCTCCTAGAATTATGTTAGCTGTTCACTTCTCCTGAGTTGTTTCTACTCAGTTTAAAAGTGGAGCTCCAGCTTGCATAAAAGAAATGTTGCAAACATGGATAGAACTGGCTATCACTCTAGAATAAGGTCAACATTTTTCAGGGACCATTCCAATTCCTATAAATAGCAGCAGAATAATTAAAAAAGAAAACTGAGCAGTGCATCTCCTGCTTATATGTTAAAAATCCAATGAACTCTAATGAATGAACACATTTGAGTACTGTCACTTCAATATAAATTAGTCCAATAGTTCTTGTTTTCAATATAAATTAGTCCAATAGATACTTATTTTCAGTTACAGGCATGTAACTGGGTTATATGCCCATATTCTTTTCCATATTGTCATTAACTGAGTACCACATCAGAATCATTTGGAGTGATCCTTAAAAATGCATTTTCCGGGCCTCCCCGGTGGCGCAGCAGTTGAGCGCTGGGTTGTGAAGCTGCCTGCGGCCTCTGCGGCGCCGGTTTGATCCCCGGCTGCTCCCCGACCACCAGAGGAGGGTCCCACATGGCGCGCAGACCTCTCCTGCCGCCCGCTGCTTCCCTCAGCAGTGTACTTCGGTCCTTCTGCCTGCTCTGCTCCCCACTCTGGCTCTGGTAAATCCTCTCACCCTCCCGTGCTTCTGACTGTACCCAGTGCATGTATAAACAAAACACACAAATAAATAAATAAATAAATAAAACATGCCTCTATTTAAAAAAAAAATTTAAAAAAAATGCATTTTCCTAGCTCTTTCCTTTACATTCTGAATTATGATTTCTGGAATAAGGACCAGAAAGCTGAGTGTTAACAAGATCCCCAGGGAAACTATGGACATAGGCTATCTACTAAAAATGAAGTTCAGCACAAAGGGGATTTACTTGTGATGTGACTATCTTTACCTTGAACAAAACATCTGTAGAAATGATGTGTTTTGCAATAGATGCATCAACAAACCATTAAACCAAGGAGACACTGCCTCCCTCTCCTACCCCAGCATCACAGAACACAGAACATCTATCCCAGGATCTCTGGGCTTCTAGAGTCTCTCCTTATTTCTCTTCTTGGTAAAAGTTGTTACTACTAGGAGATTTATTTGTAAGTACAACATGAAACTTTCATGCTGACATAGAAGTTTATTCCTATTATTACTCCAGGCATCTAATTTGGTATAATATAATAATTAGGCATCTAATTTGGTTTAATATATTTTCATACATTTGTTTTCACTAGTTCAGTCAGCTTTTCCAGCTCTGAATGTTTGCATAGATGAGCTCATAGCAGGAAAAGTCAATAATAGACTGTAGGATTGAAAGGCTACTACTTTCTGTGCCTCCCCGGTGTCGCAGCGGTTGAGCGCTGGGCTGCAAAGCTGCCCGCAGCCTCTGCGGCACCAGTTCGATCCCCGGCTGCCACCCGCTGCTCCCCTCAGCAGTGTCCTCCATCTGTCTGGCTGTTCTCCTCCCCGCTCTGGCTCTGGTGAATTCTCTCACCCTCCTGCACTTCTGACTGTACCCAGTGCTTATATAAATTTAAAAAAAAATCAAAAAACAAAGAAAGGCTAGTACTTTCAGCTTTCTCTAGTCTTGGAATCTTGAAAAATCCAGTAGTAACAAAGAAGCTTCTCTTAAGAAAAGTGCCAATACTAATATAATCATTTTTCTACAATATTAGGAGGTTCACATGTTGGCTAAAGTCCAATTTTGGCCTCAGCTAAAACACTGATGTTGCCCTAGTCTATGTGGAGTCTTATCCAGGAAGTTTCCACTTTTAATGAGTGCATCCTCTAAGGAGAACTTTCCTTCACATAAAATAGTGCCAGTGGTGAGAAGTTAATAACTTAGTAACAGTTGGACACAGACTGTTCTCTGGGATGATCTTCAAGTTGGTACTCTGTAACCTTCTGTCACTAATTCAAGTGTTTCCTTTTTTTTTTAAAGACTTATTTATTTATGCATATAAGAACTGGGGTACAGGCCAGAGGTGTGAGGGGTGAGAGGATCCACCAGAGACAGAGAGTAGAACAGAACAGGTGGATTGACTGAAATACACTGCTGAGGGGAGCAGCGGGAGAGTCAGGAGAAGTCTGCTGCGTCATGTGGGCAGCTCCCTTGCCAGGGATCGAACTAGTGCTGCAGTGGCTGCGGATAGCTTCATTTCTTGCACCTCCTTAACCAGGGAGGCCCTAATTCAGATGTTTTCTACCCTCTGAAACAAGAAAGCACACATCTTTAGTTTCTATCTAAAACCAACACCTCAGCATGTGTTCTACAACCAAACATTCCCTTCAAAATTGTCTCATTGCCTTTTGTATTGGATTTTTTCTTCCTAAACTTAAAATTTTGCCATATAAGATCTCAAACTGAACAAGGAACACCCTAAGACCCAATTCATCAGGTACATCATCTCTTCTTCCTTCTTCTTAATAAAATATTTTTCCAAAGATGCATCTTTAGTTCCTATATCCACCTCCCCACAGCCCCTTCACATTGCTGCTGATTAAGATCAGGCTTTAAACATGTGGTGGTCAGCTTCTCTTGTTGCCATATCTTGGTTAGAGTCCCTCATTTTTCAATCAAATACTAATTTAGGTGTCACTGTGAAGTGGTAGACATCTATAATTATTTGAAATAAATATGAGACCGTACTCTATAATGATTCAGTCAGTTTTCAGGGCAGAACGGGGGTATCTCAGAGGAAATATATTTCATCTGTGGAAAACAACAGCTTCAGCTTGCACCCAGGAGTTTGCAAGCTGCTGCCTGCCTTCACAAACATGGGAGGTAATTTCTTGCACGGTCTCTCTCTAGATATACAAATACTACAAATTCTGTTTCTCTCAGGGAACTCTTACTAATGCAAAATGCTGCACAGAAACTACTTCAACCAAGAATACTAGTGACCTCCATGCAACCAAATCCAATAGTCAATTCACTTTTCTGACTGCACTCAACTTCCCAGTAGTAGTTGGTTCAATGAGTCACCTCTGTTTTTAAAAACCCAACTTTCTCTCCTATCTCATTCTTAGGGTTCAGCCTTAGGATTTTGACTTTCCATCTCTACCCCAAACCCAGGCCAATTTACAGAATTCCATGAATTTAAATACAATCTACATATTTATTACCTCCACATCAGAATCTCCTGACCTGAGCTCTAGAACTGTATATGCAATATATTAGAATTCCCACTTGAATGCCTAGTAAGTGTCTATAGTTTAGTATCACAGAAACAGAACTCGCGGTTACTGTTCCCTTAAAAACCTGCTCCTCGCATTTCCCCATCTCAGTGAATGGCACACAATCCACCTGCTACAGAAAAACTTCAGGAAGCATCTCTTTTTCTCCTCCCAAAACTTTTCATATGCAACTTATCTACAGTTTAAAATAACTATCAATTCCTTCTTCCAAAGTGTATCCTAAATTCATGTACTTCAGTCTTCCTGAGTAGAAATTGTCAGTACTCAGCTAGAAATTTAAAGAGTCCCCTATCTGGAGTCCCTGCTCTATTCCAGTCTCCCCAAATCCATTTTCTATGCAATGTCCAAAATGATCTTTATAAATAAGAAATGTAATTGCATCATTCCCTTGCATCCTTCATTCTAAATAAAATTGAGACTCCTGACTGGTAAGTAAAATTCCTATTGAGTGTTCCATGTCCACTTCTTCAACTTCTCTTCAGTTATTTCTGTCAGAGACCTTCCTACTGCTCCTGCAACATGGCATGACCTTTTCTACTTCAGGGCCTCTGCACTTTCTTTCCCTAGGCACAGAGTAACTTTTCCAAGAAAAGTTACTTTTGCCATATAAGATCTCAAACTGAACAAGGAACACCCTAAGACCCAATTCATCAGGTACATCATCTCTTCTTCCTTCTTCTTAATAAAATATGGTCAGCTCAACCTGTCAATGTAATTCTTAATCCTAATCCACCTCTTTAGAATAAAGTCCATTCTGATGCCCTCTCTACAGTCACCTGCCCTGCTTCCTGTGTCCTACCTCTAGCTTATATAAGGAGCTTTACTTTTCTTCATGGCTCCCATCACAAACCAGAATCTTGTTTGTTTTGTCTTACTTGTTTGAGGTTTGTCTTCATAAGTGTCCTCACCAGAATGTAGGTACCTAATAAGCGCCCCACCTTGACAGTAGGTACCAAATAGGCACAAGTAGTTATTCAACAAATATTTGTGGAATGGTTGCACATATAGACCCTTCTAGTCTCAACATGGGCAATCAGGTTCATCTGAAATTGTTGTTATATACTTGTCGTATTTTTCCAGGGATATTAATTTTTTTATGGATTATAAATCTTAATCCCAAAATTCCATTTGGATATTTGCTAATGATTGGTAGAAACCATATAATTCTATAATCTAAGACTTGAATTTCTATCATTTTGGAAATGCATGCATATATATTCATTCATTCTTTCTTTCACTCTTTTATTCATTCAACTGATATTATTTATTTAGCCTTAAGACATAGGAGGCAAATATAAAAACTTCTCAATTTGTAAGTCTGATACTTTTCCTTTGA